ATATAAAAAGATCGATTTACTTAATAAAAACTTAGCAAAAATAATATTTCATTGTACCGCCATTACTTTCGCCGGGGCTGTATATAAGCAAAGAAAGATGGGACCCTAAATTAGCACAAAAGAATTTAATCATGCACAAATATAACGGCTTGATAGCTTGATTGACATAAGTGGTGCAGCCTTGCAATTTTTTATTGTATATTTTAAATATAATTAATTAATACATCTTTAATAAAACGAACATGACTTAACTATTTAATCATTTCCTTGTACGTGAATGCCTCCATCCTATACATGAAGTCAAAACTATTCCGACCATTTGCAGACCTGGTCGAAATAGGGTCTAAATATAAGGTCGAAACTGATTTTTATATGTAGTTGCCTCAAGTCGAAACATTTTGATTTTGGGGTTTTAATTTCGACTTCATGTATACTCCATCCATCAAATATTCATGATCATCGTTGACATAACAAAAAATTGCGTCACTCAGGTAGTAATAACACCAAGGCCATGCATAAATGAAAATCTTAACAATATGTGTCTACCCAGATCTCTGAGATTCACTAGAATAAATGAATAGGAAGGATAAAAAAAAAAATCCCACAGGTGAAACAATTAAACAAGTTGGTAGTAGGCTTTGGACAAAACTTTTCTTTATCTTCCCCTCAGACCAGGCTTGGATGTTATCATATGGGCATTGACTACTGGTTGCTTTGTGTTATACCCTCTCACTAGAATAAAGTTGGTGTTAAGACTGGTACAAAATTCTGCAACTTGAAAGGTTGCAACCCAAGTTGCTGTTTTGGATTTTCCCTGGATCCAGAGTTTTGAGTCTGTTTTATTCGAATTATTCGTTTAACCGTTTTATTCGAACCATTCCTTTATTCGCTTTATTCGAATAAACTTACAATGTAATTCGAATACCCAAATTCATGGCGGGTAAAACAAACAATTCGAATAAACCTTGTTCGAATAGAAACCCTAATCAAGCAGTATAATTGTATTTAGTGATTTTAGTTTAGTTTGAACATTATTGGCTGTGTTCCAGGTAAATGTGTGCCAAAATTTGGTGACTCCGTAATAAATAATTCGGATCGCACGTTCACCAATATAAATTGTACCAGATGCTATCCAATATTTCCAAAATACAGCAATATCACTACAAAATGGTGGTCTATCAGGTTTTATCATACAAAATGCTCCATGGAATGCCCATGCACCAAAAAAAGCTACAAATAGATGATGCGAATACCAAAATCTATTAAAATTTCTATGTCTCTGATTATCTGTAGCTGTAATGACCATTATAAGCAAAGATACCAACATAACATAACCAGTTGCGCCAGGACCACTTAAAAAATTTAATTTCAAAAAATAGAGGAAATCTTCATTCAAAGCAATAGTCAATCTAGCAAAATTTGCCCAGTGAGAAAATGTGTGCAACAAAGAGAAAAATAATATTGACCAGCCGATGGCCTTATGAAACTCAATATTTTCATCGAATGGTATGATGGCATTTAATGGAGTTGTACGAAATAAAGAAATCAAATTTCTACAAACTGGAAATAGTATAAGGCCTGCATCTACATGTAAAACCAAGGCCGAGGAACGAGCAATTGGATATGTTATACCAAAAATAGAACGAGCTGTTGACAAATTATCACTAAATAAGAAATTCTGTAACTGTTAAAAAA